CAGATTTTTTGGAGATACTTTTTTCCAAGCTGCATTTTAATCGCCAGACATTGTGAAAACGATTATTTTGAAATATGTATTTACATATTTTTTCCTCATCCTAGTTTTTTTTGTAGGCGCGAAACAGAGTGCTGGAAGTGCGCTCCTCCTAGCAGAGAGAAAAACGAATTTAAGAATTTCGAAAGTTGTATGTGGTGTGAATTCTAACGATCAAAAACGCAAGTGGCGCTGAGGTAACAGCTATTTAAAAACATGATGGTAACTAAACACCTGCCACACCGACCTTTTTAGTTCTTGAGTCGATATTAAAAGCTGTCAAAACCACTGTCCCCACTACAACATCTCAGGAAATTATCCTAAATCAGGCCCACTTAAATAGCCAATGAACTGGATTCTTCGTTGTAATTCCTAATGCAACTTTAAGAAGCTAATGTGTTAACACTGTATTAAGTACATATATGGTTATTGTTCGCCCCACATTGTAAGAATCTGTAGCAAATGTAAAATTTGATAGATAAAATGGTGAACAATCGTAAAAGTCGTACTATAAATGGTTTATAGGCAGTACCGAGGCGAAAAAGCGGTTTTATTGGCAAAAATAAAATTCCTTGCTAGCCTTTATTGTACACTAAATCACATTTTATTATATTTGAACATTTAATAATGGGCTTTTTGCCTGTGCTGTTGTACGTGCGTCGAATCCGCAGCACACACATTGTAACTACCTGTGCGATTCGATTACCGTCTGTCGTTTCCTGTCTGTCTAATCAGTGCTTATCTATCGAAAACGCCATCACTCCGCGTTTTACAGGGTAGTAGAATATGAGTAGCAAGATTATTTGTTGATTTTTTTTTTGTAATCGGATAGAATAGAGAAACATCATTAAGAGCATCATTTGCCCACTGATAGGAAATGCTATAGGTGTGTACGTAATATTTATTTCCCATTCGGATGGGTGGGAATGTATTTAAACCACGTACAATTATTGGAGTTTAAAATACGTTGGTTAGATGTTTCATGTGATACGAAATGAAATGTGGGAAGATCTGACAATATAATCATAATGAAGTTAGTTGTAAGCAAATCAAAATCCCCCTTATTACCATATCTAATCCATAATGAACACTAACTTTTTTCATCTATAGACGGATATAGCTTAAGATGACGTCATTAAATGCCCATAAAATTATAATTTAAATGAATTAAATACCGTATTTGGGTAACCTTTTTTATATAAACGAAGCTTCACTTCCTAGAATTGGTATTTCATTAACACCCTGCAATAGAACTGAAATCTTCAACTAACAACATTCAAATCAAATTGGTTTACGCGCGGTTGTAACAAAACAACAAAAACTATGTTAACATTCCAAACTACGAAGAAACTACAGGGTGTCCAGTGGGAAAGTTTCAAATTTGAATTACGCGACAACCGTATAGTGGGGAGAGGTCTTGATCGACGCGTTCGGGTGCGGATTAAATAGTCACAATGGAACGTTGGACCGGAACACAACGTGCTTTTGCTATCGAGGCTTACTTTAAGAGTGGTGATTCATACGCAGCTGCCCTTTGGAAATTTTCTTCATGATACAACATTCGCCGACCAAGAGATGCCCCAAGTAAGAAGATGTTGAAAAAGTGGATTAAGAGGTTCCGTGAAACAGGCTCTACTCTTAGTCCACCTATTCCTTGCCCCACACCTACTGTATCAACCGAAGAAAATGTGCGTCGAGTAAGTGATTCGGTCATTGCAAATGTTCGGCGTTCTGTACGAAAGCATTCAGCTGCTTTGAGTCTCCCTAGGTCAACACTACATGGCATAATGAAGAAAAAAATGGGTTTTCATCCTTATAAGTAAAGTGATTACGTATTACGGAAATCTTGTGTTGAACGGATGTTGAATCTTTTTCCTTCGCAGCGCAGACTCAAGAACGTTGTTTTCAGTGACGGGGCCCATTTTCACTTAGACGGTTATGTGAACAAGCAAAATCGCAGATATTGGGCACCAATGAACAAAAAAGAGAAACATCAACAACAGCTACATAGTCCAAAGGAGACTGTTTGGTGCGCCATATCCTCTATCGGTATTATTGGGCCGTATTTCTTTGAAGATGAAAACGGTCATGCAATGACAGTCAATTCCGAGCGATACAGGACATGATTAACACTTTTCTTGCTCCTTTTATAAGAACAGAACTTCGATTTAATAGAAACATATGATTTCAAGAGCATGGGGCTCCTGCCCATACTACCAGAGAATCGATGGACACTTATCCCTCAAAAAGTTATATTGAAGTTTGGAGACATTCACTGGTCTCCTAAGTCACGCGACCTTACACCATGCGATTATTTTGTGTGGGGTTATCTAAAGTCAAAAGTGTATTCCAATAATCCACGAACACTGGAGAAGAAATAAACAACTTCACTTCGGAACTCCTGAACTCTGCAAGAGACTGTTTCAGAATTTGCGCGCGCGATTAGAAGAGTGTGTCCGACGGGATGGCAAACATTTGGACGGAATGATATTCAAGAAATAAAACCCGCCGAATTTCCGATTATGTTGATAGTAATAAATATTTTCGTTTCATTAAGCTTGTATTTTTTTTCTCAAATCAAAAAGTGAACTTTCCCACTAGACACCCTATATAACGTTGACCGTGCATTGAGGCCTGAACCTGAACTATCTAGGAAATGTCAAAAGGAGTATGTATTCAGGGTTATAAACAGTAATGGAATATCTTGCTCACATACCGACACAATTCACGATGAGTATAAATTACCTTGTTTTTAAGATCAAATTTGTAAAGTAAGTTAAATTGGTAAGCATTTTTAAGACCGTATAACTAAATTAAATCATGTCACAGTCAATTCGGAGCAATTTAACACATGTTTTTCTCAATTTACGGACGTTCTTTCTCATTTTTATCTTCACGGCCTCACGTAAATATGATGAACACGTGTTGAAGTTCTAGTATTAAGGCTTTACGAGGGAAGCATTAAATGTTCAAACGAGAGACGAGCCCAATCATTCGGTAGCTTTAAATAGAAAGTATTGTGAAGACTTTATACAGATTTCAATGCGATCTTTCAGAATGTTTAATTTATTGTTCACCGCACTATTAGAAAAATCACGTTCAGAACAGCTTTATTCTATAATATTTCCATTCTATTTCTACAGTATAAATGATTTAATTATTTGATAGCTTTGCATAAAACGCGTTAGGAATTTATGAAAAAGCTTTGTATTCATAGATTCCAACGTGTCCTATCCTATCCAATTTTCACTCTGCTATGTCGTAATCTTGTCACACGTTTTGGCTTTTTGGAAAAATGATCTATATACGCAAAGTTTTAATAAATGGATATAGAATGGCATGCCTCGAGAGAAGAACTATCTGAACCGAAATGTTTTATTTGTACAAAAAAAATGGTAAGCATGATCGGCAGAATTATATTCTACAGACACGGGTGACCAAAATTTAAGGTGGAAATGAATATGCTGCTTAGAACAGATGAAAATTTTGGATCGCTTGCAAAGTAATGATTGGCTATTTAGTTTGCTCATCATAAAAAGTAATAGTTGAAACGATGAGATCATGTTATTTGTGTCAATACTCAAAAACATGATTTAAACAGCAAGAATAAGAAACAACAGGCTAATGTCCTCTTGAAATCAACATATTTTAACTCTGTTTAAGGCGTATTCAAATCTAAAGCTTCACTGTGCAGAAACCAATCCTATAATGTATTCTTTTCATGGCAACTAAAATAGAAAATGGCGATGAATATAGCAAATTTACCATGCTTATATATCAAACAACTAGTTTTGACAAATTTGGTATGTATAGTTTACCATGTCCGCCCACCCACCGTTGCACCAAATATCTTACAGCTCATTACATTCAACACCTTCTAAATGTGACTAATTCAGTTCATTGAATCTGCCATAAATATTTTTCCAAGTACCTTGGTTAATATTCAACAACCATCTATTATCGCACAGCCATAGCCAAGACAGGCTTTGACTGTTGTATGCGATATGTTAAATTTTTTCCTCAACGGAAAACTGCCCATTAAACATCGCACATTGATACCAGCGATTCGTATCGAGGCTGGTTTGATTGAAATTTATGTCAGTAAATAAATACGGTCTAAATAATGTCGTAAAATTTAATTTTCTATAGAAATACATTGTATCTTAACGTCCAAGATCCATGTATAATACCTGTTTTATGAGTTGAGCTGTGGCATACGACATATTTTAAGCGTTGGGCCGTAAAAGTGGATTTTTCTGATTATTTTATGATTTGGTTATTGCAGTTGGCGATTTTCTTTTCGGAGAAAATCAAGCGTCGCTCGTTTGGATACAATGCAAGCCTCTCTGAGGACAACAGCTGCTTTAGTCACACGTGGGAAAGCACACATAAAATTCGTGCGTATTTCGCTGTTTTAAAGGCTATTCGCCATGAGCTGAGCTTTGTAAGGAATATTGAGCAGCTTTGGGCTGCACATAAACGCAGTATTGGACCTTGACAGAATACACTTCGAAAAAGTCATTTTTGATGAAAATATTTAATTCGCTTATTCAAATTTTCCTGACTGAAAAATAAACCACAGATGTTAATAGGAGACTCTAGCAACGTATCAAAGGATTCGGTAGCCTTTTTCAAAGTAAAAGGGAAAAGACAGTCAAAAGAGGGACAGCATTGCCATTTCAGTTTTGATTATTTTATTTGATTTGTGGAATGAAGAGATATAATTCAAACGTTTAGTAAAACTATAAATATCTGTGATTTTAATTATCCGTCGGGAGAACATGGAAATGAATCTAAACGGCATAACTTTCAAGAGTTATATGAAGAATTCACATGTGTAGAAGATATAAGAAGGAGATGAAAAATTAAGAGTTCAAAGTTGTCAAGCGACTTTCTTCCATTTGCAACAAGTTTCATTAACATGTAGATGAAATTAATGTTAATAATTAAGAGAAAACACTTACCATTGAGGGGACTGGGTTCCAGTGGTGGGGACGTCGAATGCTCAGTCTTTGTAGTTTGTGAATAAGAAAACATATTTGAAGGAAAGACACCCTGAAAGAAAAAGTAGATTATGAAATATATATAAGAAAAAGATGAGGACACTAATAGAGATATAAATGTAGAAAATATTCTTCGTATAAGTTCATAAAGTCCCACAGATTTATTTGAAAAGGCTCATATCCTATTAAGTCCCAGAAGTTCAAAAAATACTGCAAGAGATTCATACGTACATATATATTATGGAATATATTTTTTCGAAACATCCATAATTATTTATAATATTTGGGTTGATAGTATAACATTTTCTATAACTGTTCTATAGATTCATTTCACAGACCGAGCCAAAATATACACTATCTAAACTCATTAAAAATTATTATACTGCATCTCTTTTTTCGACAACACAATACAAAATGTTCTTAAACAAGCAATTATAGCAGAATGAGAATCGTCCCTTTTACAAGAAACAAAAGAATTGCGATCAACGGTTATTCAAATGTTGGACAAACAGAGAAACAAGCGAACCAACTGAAACAAGTTAGATTATATGTTGAGTATTAGATTTAGTGCTGATATATTTGTTTTCAGATTTCTTGAAATTTCCATCTTCTTCCCACAATTATAACAGTAAATTTCGGCTAGCTGGATAAAAGATTAACTCCGCAGACAAGCTGCATTGTATTTAATTATTTTGCACTTTTATTTAAACAAGGGAAATTGTGAGAAGCGGGTGAAACAGTAATTATAAATTAGTAAGGCTAGATTGAAATCTTTCAAATATTCAAGCTCTTTCTCTTTCAAGTTATTTCCGTAAGTATGCGAATAGCCAATTACTACAAAAATAGGTTTTTCTATATAGCATTATATAATGAAATATAAAAATTGGGATAAAAAGTCTAGCATATAGTTACTGCATTATTTTTTGTATCTCTTTGGTTTTAGAAAATACTGAAATGAACCAAATATTATCATATCGGAGTATCTACATCTAAATATGTTGAGTCCTTAATGTGTGAATAAAATGTTAAATAATTATGCAAACTGGTCAATGTAATATTTTGATTTTATCCAGCAATCATTCTAATCAATTACTCGAAACAAAACGTCATTTAATCCGCGAATCAGCATTAGTGGCGTCACTCCTGGTTATGACAAGATACTTGAGCTTATGGTCACTATTATGGCCGCTGTGACAGATGTCAGGTAATTTGATTGTTCAGGGGTGCGTTTGTAAATCACTTGGTAATGTAATACCGTACATAGTAATGGAATGTAGATTGACAGGTGAAATTTTACTCTGGAATACTGTGAAACCTTATTTCTAGAACGCCTAAATTATTACAGTCATGTAATGACACTTGATGACAACAATCTAATTTCTAACCACGTTTTCAGCGACCATTGTAATTATTATAAGACATCCTAGGGATACGGGGTAGCATTTATCATGAAAAATATATATTCTGAAAGTTTTGAGCAGTTTTTGATAACCAAATAGATTAATCAAACAATGAACCATGAGAAGGATAAGTGACAGGACGCAAGTAACATATACGTCAAACAATTACGAACGCTAAAATTTTTACAGAGTAGTACAAAGTACACAATTTTACATATATCATTGGCAATGGCTTCGGTGATGACAGATAATCAGTTAAAACCACTACACCAAAATATAACGAAATTCGACTAGACGCAAACGAACCCGTGAAACAGATTTGACTAAATTTACGACACCTGCCGCTTTTTTGAACATCTCATTATTCCATTCGTTCATAACCATCCTGGACACTTGTTTCTGTTATCTGTGTATTTTTTCCGGATATTAAAAGTAACTGCTTTGTTAAATTATTCCATAAATTAGAAATTCAAATGACCATTCCGTAGTGAGGCGGGACAAATTGGTCGAGGCATTGTAAACGCTTAAGCATTTTCACATTTCTAGTAAACGGAATGTCGAATTGATGTTTCTGGCATCAGGTCGATAATTTAAGCAGTGTTTTAGTTGTAAAAAATGATCGTAGATTAATGTGCTAGAAAAGGTGATGATTTAATTATTGGAAACTCGCGGCTGGAGATGGAATGAATGGGAATGAATTATGTGAATTGTAGGCTTCCATAAGTGGCAGCGTCGGATTTTTCTCAACATTACTAGTATACAGTCTAATCATCGTATGATCATTTTTTGTAAGCAACTTGAATTTATGTAGTAATAAGCAGTTATTTTTCAAACAACAATAATTAAGGAAAACGGCCTGTATAGTGAACAGATAATATATATGTATCTCCTTTTCTAATGCAAAAGTCTGTACCTATGATAATATCATTGCAATCAATCAATAAACAATTATAGCATTATTATTCATGCAATGAAATAATTCCATCACAAATACGTAATTTGAAACCATAATCATTTATGGGTTTCCTTTTGTCAATAACTTACAATTACAGAATGCAAATGCAACTAATCAGAACTAATTGATTACAATTTGTACCTCTAACCTATACTTTGCTGTTGACAATATTGGGTCCAGAAATGTGTCGTATTCAACGCTGCAATCAAAGATTTAATATTATTGACCAACCTAATCAGCTCGAGAAGTGTATTGTCCATCAATATTCAGTATTGGGTAGCCTTTTCACAAAATTTCAGTTCTAAGCCTTTTTACTTTCTGCGCTAATTGTATCGGATTGCATTCGCGCAAAATTTCGAAAAAGATGTATGTTTGTATAACGCTTTTTTGGATTTCATATCAAAGGTAAATCACGAAAAAAATGTTACTCATTTCCGTCTGTCTGTCAGTTAGTTCGTTGACCTTTGCCCCTTCATAGTTTGAAAAGTATTGCTCGGATTTTGATGAAATTTTGACATAAGATCATTCCTGCTAGAAGGATAAAAAGTTTTGTCGTTTTTGAAAATCGATCAGAGAGCAGAGCTACAAGGGGAAAAAAGAAAAAGACAAAAATCACCCATTCATTTTTTGACGTTTCAGGTTCTCCTCCTCATTTTTTGAAATTTGTTTCGAAACGTAACAAATTGAGGACGCGGTTTGTGGTGGAGGGTATATGTATTTTTATCGTTAGTTATAAATATACTAACGACCCCAGTAATTATATGCATCTAAACTGTTAGATGTATTTACAAACATAGATTTACCCGGTATATATGAACTTGAAACTTGGAATAATACAGAGAAATATTTTTAACACATGCCCCGAGTGCAACAAACGTAAAGGAGATACACGTGTGTCGACTTACCGCTGGGTTGTCATACGGTGGGGACTAGGGATTAATTGTTTAAGCCTGTTTGATCAGTTTGATCAATCTAATTTTTCTGTTGCACGTGTTCGTAAGTGACTATATTCTGAGAAGTGCTAAATTGAGTCGAACATAATCCTTTGCGAGCCTGATGACAGGGATGCCTGGGAAGTGTAAAGTCAACCTAGTTGATGCCATTTTGATAACAGTTCTCTATAGTCAAATTGGAAGAGAATAGCATAAATCAGAGACGTACGCTACGCCACTCTCTTGGAATTTATGCTTAAATATATTAAAAAACTATTTCAGCTCTTTCTGTTCGTCAAACCGATACGCTATGAAAGTGTGATCTATATCACATGACCAATACTTTGGATTATGATTAGGTTTTCCGTCTTGCTTTGAAAAGCAGTGACCATTCTATTATTCAGTGCAACAGTGGAAGGTGATCTGCTTTGCAGTTTATTTTATCTTTCCATCTTTCTTAATACTTGACTCTATATTCTGGAAGTAAATTTTAAATAGTCACAGGGTAGCCAAAGATATTACATAGGGTAGTTCTATCCTACCAATCTTTGAGCTTTCGACTTCTGGAGCCAATCCGACACGAAAGAGGAGAGATGCTTCGAGCAATTCTCTTTGAAATATACTAAGTGACATATAAATCCGAACACCCAGTTTAAATGGTTTTGTTTTAGTAAAATTTTGTATAAGTACTTAATGAAGCATAATGAGTAAATGATAAAAATTTCAAAATGATTGCACTGCTTTAAAACCCTTTGACCTTTAATAATATGTGGATGCAGCCTGATGTGCTACGCATTCTCCAACGCGCCTAGGCATGCTTCTGATCAGGTGGTCAATGTCCTCCTGTGGTATCTCATTCCAGGCAACCACCAACTCCTCTTGAAGTGCTTCTAGAGTCTGAGAAGGACCTTGCAAATTGAGCAATCTCCTACCCATCATATCCCACACGTGCTCAATTGGGGATAAGTGGGGAGATTTTGGTGGCCATGGTAACAATGTGACATCATTATGTTGAAAGAAGTCTATTGTGACTCTTGCAACATGTGGTCGGGCATTATCTTGTTGGAAAGTTGGATCTGCCAGGGTGTCAAGATAGGGTAAAAGATGGGGTTCTAGAACTACTTCGTGGATATAACGCTGCGCGTTCATGTTACCTCTGATGAAGATTAAAGGTGACCTGGAACCATAAGCTATAGCACCCCAAACCATAACTCCAACAGTGTGATGAACATGTCTTTCAACAAAAAACTGTGGATTCCTCCTTTCACCACGCCGCCTTCTAACCCTGGCACGACCATCGTGCATGCCTAAACAGAATCGAGACTCGTCACTAAAGACAATACTGTTCCATTCCTGATCCAAGAGTGACCGTTGTCTGCACCACTCAAGGCGATTACGTCGGTGTTCTCGAGTTAAAGGGAGGACCCAGTGTGGCCGGTATGAAAACAAGCCAAAACTTCTCATTCGTCGGTAAATAACATACTTCGCATGCCCATAGGTCTTCCGTGTTCTGCAAACCATTCATTTGCAATGGACCTGGTAGTGGAGAAACGGTCCCTTAAGGCCAATAATCTTAGGCGGCGATCTTCACGGTCTGTTGTTCTACGGCGGCGTCCAGTGCCCCTTGCTCTTTGCGTACGGCCTTCTCGAAGCCATGCCTGACAACACCTAACCACAGTGTCTACACTTCTTTGCACTCTAACTGCAATTGCCCGAAAAGAAAGTCCAGCTTCCCGAAGTCCCACTATACGGCCCCTATCAAACTCACTAAGTTGACGAAATCGTACAGGTCTCCGTACTCTAGGCATCGTAACCGATCGTAAAGGATGTCAAGAACCAAAATCCGTCAACGTTGATTCTTTACTGCGGCTGAAATATTCATTTTTAGAGCGATAGTGAATTAAAAAAAAACAGTATAAAAACCGTAATGTCCAACTGATAAGGCTGAACATTTTTTCACTTGTTATTTACAGTAAGATAAATACATTCACCAACTTTTATTAAAATAAAACCATTTAAACTGGGTGTTCGAATTTATATGTCACTTAGTATACAACATGCTGATTTCTGTTCTATGAGGGAGACACTAGTTTTTTTCCTAACGCATTAGCTCCTTCATTACTGAGTATTCTCAAGTTAGAGCTCTCGTAACAGAATTTTATACATACTGCTTTGCACGATTGAGCGAATCTCTCCATACTCAAAGATACTCATTCACAGTGGCGTGCGATGCGTTGAGTTGCTGTCTTATAATTTAATACATGACTACGACTGTGAAATGTTGATGTCAGTCGAATTCTGAAATTCCTAGAAATATTGAGTGTTACATATAAACCTCAAGGAAACAAAAACAACTGTGACGTCATACATAGCATCGCCTTCAAATTGTGTCAACTTAGAAAATATTGAAACCAAATTACTCACCCGACTGCTATAACTACCGCTCCCCCCACTCCCGAGTCTCTGCTCCAATTGCCCCTTGCCCTCTTGGTCGCCAGAGGTCCCATTGGCGTAGGTCCCAGGTTCCGGGACCCTTTTGCCTAGGTCCAAGGGTGTGCTGGCTGTCATCGATCCCACCGCCCTATGACTAGACTGATGCGAGGGTCTGCCCGATTGGAAATGGGGCAGTCGCGCATGGTGGGCGGCAAGATCGGTGGATTTGGGCGACAGGGGAGTTGCGGGGGGAGTGGGGGGTTGAGCTGCGGGCGGAGAACCTTCTTTCCTGGAGGAGTTCAGTGAGAGGTTCTCAAAGATTTTGCCTGCAAAAGAAATTGAAGTAATTACTTCCTAAGTTTTAATATTATTATAGATGGTATGTGCGAATTTTCTAAAATCTAGTCTCTCCAATTTACCAGTGCCCGTCTACATATCTTCTGCCATGAAGATCTTTGCTCACTATACCGTATCGTACTAGGATCACAGGATCATGTCATGAACGTAGTGTAATTTTGCTGGTAAGGACATTCTCGGCCAAGCTCTGTGCAGGCGAAGTCGTCACAAAGCGGTACAGATGCGTATCATACGCGTTTGGATAACGGCATTCCACAAATAGATCATGGAGGGTGAATGAGTGAATAGGCGATCAGTTTTTAGAGTGACAGAAGGAAGATAAAGTTAATTTCGTTGATTTGTTGTACCTACTGAAATGAAGCGCTTGCCGAGTGTGTCTCGTACGAGGAGCATATTAGTACTCGTTGGGAGCGAGGTGCAAAGATGTTTTTCTCAGCTACTGGAGAAACACAACTCAATTCGAGGGCAACAATTAAAGAAAATCAAACATATGAACTTGTTCAGTGTTTTACGTACAGCAGCCCTTGTGTGCGAGTTCTTAGTGATATTTTTAAGGTATCGATTTACTATCTGGACTATCATAACAATTAGTTTGCAAGCCGTCACAGGAAGATTATCATGATGGGTCATGACAGAGCTTCTTCGACAACATTTTTAGTAAGGCATTCCTAGCTTCCAAGATAAGCATGGTGAAGCAGAAGTTGCAAAAACACGACACAAATGTATTTCTCGTTTGCCCCCGGTAAGTAATAAATAACCCGCCCGTATTCATTAATTTAGAAATTCTTCTTTCTTAAACATAAAACATATACTGCCTTTCAGGCCGTATAATTTTTTTAGCCCTGTTTCGCCGTATTGTATATATTCTTCTTTTGAATATTAATCATTCCCCATTGCTGCATACGGCCGTCTCTCTCGGCCTCATTATGCTTCTCCTTCTTCCGATTTCTTTTATTTGTTTCATTCGGTTGTGCCCGACAGGACTACTTCATTCCATAGCCGGCGTCAAACGATTTTATCATTGATGAATGTATTCTACCTGAAGATAACCAACCTATAGCTATATTCCCACATCCTAAATATTATCCGAGATCAAATGAGATACTGTAACGTCATCTATGAGCATATCACAGCTGTTTCTCTAATTACTATACATTGAAAAGATTAGTGTCCCTTAGATGACGCTGTAGCCAAAACTATCTGAGCATCTACGTGGTGGCTACAGCGTCATCTAAGAAACACTAAGTTTTTATTCTTCTTCTACTACTACCACTAATTGAGGGTAAAAAGTGAACATCATCTCAATACATATAACACAATGCACTCAATTTGAAACCTCAAACCTCCTTTATTTTATTCATTGAATTTCAACCAAATGTACTTCAAATGTTTTTTTAAATGAAGCTAAAGAGTTTTAAACTAAGTTTACTCCCAAAGAAGTGACAACAGTCAAGTGAATATCAGATAGCGTATAAGGATCCGCTTTGTTGATACCTTGGAACATACAGTATATTCTACAAATATTGGAATTGCTGGATATTGTTTAGCTGTATACAGACTAATACTTGTAAATATTTTCATCAGATAGTAATTGACCTAAAAACTTTGCATCATAGGAAGCGTAAATGGCAACACTGTCTCTGTGCTGCTACTCAGATCGATTAGTACGGCTACGAGTATACGGCAGCACAGAGCCTTCTTATCAATTATGTTACTTATCACGCATGAGCTGAATGATATCCGTAGTTGTAGTTGTCGTATGTCATACGTTCCTGGGTCAATCTGTAACGCCACTGTAATTCAGTTGTGGCCGACAGGACTACTTGATTCTCTGTCTCTGTTTCGAGCGTCTTTTGTTACCGGCAGCCGTCTACGTCGCCCTATCCTCGCTTTTAATCGAGCCGGCTCTGAAAATTCATTTGTTTTCTGTTTTGAATAAATGATAAATTAGTTATTTTCTGTTTTAAAAGCGGGTCTTTTAGTTCTTTTTTTCTCTTCGTCGAGCTCGCCCGGGATTCTTTAATTTTTAATCGATATGCGTTTGTTTCTTGAGCCAGGGGAGTTTTTAATTTTCGGACAGATGCAGTTGGTATATAATTAACTGTTTGTGCTTCCATTATATCGATTCCTCGCATGTTCTATGCTTTTGTTTCTTATTTATATCAATGGGTGTTAGGTTGTTCAACAAATTGCCAAACACCCTCAGGGTCCTGCCACTCACTATTTTCAAACATGAAATTAAGACTTTATAAAAAAGGAAACCATGTTACTCTTTGGATGAGTACTTGTCAGATACCCTGGCAAACGACCAGTAGGAGTAGTTCTGACAAAACGGTTTAAAGTGTGATAAACTATATCTCAATTTCAGCAGTTACCGCCTTTATTCATTTTTATATTATATGTTTTTTGAATGTTATCTATTTTATCTAAATAATTTAAACATAGCGATATTTTAATCTGTGTCTATCACAATGCTCAATGTTTGTTTTTAGTTAAGTGTTTGTCTATTTTATATTTCAATGTTTGTTCAATTTTGACTGTCTTACGCATGTTATCTACTTATTTATTTTCTTTATATATTTTACTTTATTGTTTCCATTGACGTATTCTTTGTCATCCTATAATGGTCTAACAGAACTAATAAAGGAATGAAATAATAATTAGTCTTATTTTTATGTTGCTACTGTCAGCCGTCGCAGGCACTATCAGACACAATCAAGCTGCACATGTTATGAGTCTGTCGAACTGGCGAATCTCAACAGAAGAAAATAATGATGTCCAGAGACATTTTGGGATATATGTATAGGACTGTAATGTATTTATTTTAAATTTGTTCAGTGAAACCGTTCCACCAGTGAGATTTTTCCAGAGTCATTCAATTTACTTCAAAAACCTGAAACCATTTATTAATCGCTTTTATTTTTTACAGAATGACTATGCTATGTAATATTTATGACGAGTTAATGAAATCATAAGGTATTTTTGTCAAAAAAACTTGATTATCTTAATGATGTTTCCACGAACAAAGCAAACACTGAAATTGTATTATTCACATAATTTCAATAATATCGTTACAATTATATCCAAGGGTAATGGGTTTAGTACGAAATTAGGAAACGTTACAATACAGAGTATATGGAGGAATCGAAATGAATGCCGCATGAAAATGGGGTATCGTCTGCCTAGACGAAATCGCATTTTGACATTCATTTTTAAGGCTCATGCAGGTTATACTTTTCTCAGCGTGTGTTGGAAAACATCTATCTGAAATTCAAACATGTAAAGAAAACCCAGTTAAATATTTTTTTATTTCCCGTCGAGGAATTAGCAAATATTTAATTTTTATTCCGGGCCCCTGTAGAACTTTGCGTTGCATGTTAAACTGTCGCATACTGATTCATTAAGTCAAGTAGCTTGATATTTTATAAATCACTTGACATTAAAATTGAGATTGGAACGTTAATGCTAGTATCGAGTTGAGGCTTTTATTGTTGACTTGAAGTCAGGTATTTTCAAAGTGCTTGATAATTGATGGCAAATTCACCTTCAGTGATCTTTATTTGTATTTTAATGCAAATAATCACGTAGAAAGCCGAACATTTTCGCACGACACTGCCACCTGAAAAGATGCATACAAACAGGGTTACCAAGCCGAAAAACACGAAATCGGTGAATAGTACCATTGAAGATGGCAAAACTGGTAGGAAGAAGAAATCAGGGCTCGTGCAAGATCAGCGGTGGATCAAGGACATTGGGTCACGCCCCATCTATGAAAAGTATATTTTCGTATAGCACGGGAACACAAAACCGGTTTTCTATAAATATAAAAAGAAATTAAAATTAAACTTCTTACAAAACAAATCGACAAACAATTTTACGTGACTTCAGGTCAAGTCAAGCAGCTTAAAAATCAAGTCAAGTCGCGAATCCCTAGCGCTGAGGGATGCAACGTGCGAGAACAGTGACTGTCTTCTCCATTGAGGTACGGATTTTTTCCTTGAATACTGATATATCACCACATTAAATTTGATTAGATTTGGAAACATAGCATATCAGATAATTATCCTTAACGTCCGGCAATGCTGTCAGACAAAGCTGATACAATGTCTGCATCACAGAATGGTCTCAGAAGCAGAGACTGCCAATGAGACATTCCGAGAAAGTGGTTTCCTGATACCCTACGTAAGTTGATTTGCAAAACTACACATACCTTTATTTTTCGCTCATCACAATATCAGGTTTTTCAGTAGACTCATACGTCTATACTTATGGGGTACTGATGATTGCTAAAGAGCATGAAACAACGTTGAATACGATTGGTTATGTCTTCAGAGACGGGAAGCAAACAATACTGTACAACTCTGCATATATTGCAAAATATTGATATTCCGTTGTAAATAAAAATTGTGGAGAGTAACCCATTGATTATGTTTTGAACGCTTCGTTGAATCATCAAAACGAGCGTCTTGATGCCGCCTAGAAATACAACTCTTTTATATGTTAGATCTGCATTATCTTTCTAGACCGAAATTGCCTTTAGTATATCTGTCAGATGACGAGTTGCAGTAATTTCAGCAAACTCCCTGTACCATATATGTATGAATATATATGTAACTTTCAAGTACAACATCATAAAACTGAAAAGCCGGCGACCCACAGTATGGGAGAAGCGGTGATATATCTTTGCGCGTTCTGTATTTCGCACTAAAACCCAGCCAATGGTCTTCAGAAAGGCTTAAGTAGAGAGTGGTCTGAGTTCATAAACATCGTACAATCTGCATCTTTATACGGGCACGGCGATGAAAAAAAATTAATGAGATATCGAGAAGCAAACCATTGAAATTCTTGAAAGACGTTAACACGTTAAAGTTATTATTTACTCCTTTTAAATTCCTTCGTCTTGAAAATACACCAAATCATCGAAAAATGTGCTTTATCATCGAAATTAATGTGTACACCGTGGTGTGTA